TTTCTTTCTTTTTCTTTAGTAGCAAAAAATCTGTTTCTTAGAGTAGTTTTTGAGTAAACTTTGATGTACACTTTTTTCTATTTTTATAAAATTGAGATCGGCAGAAAGAGTTTTTTTGTAACCATACTGATTGATTATATATTTTATTAAAATATATAATTTTTTTTGTTACATTATTATATTACAAGTTTTCATTGAAATAAGACTTTTATAAATTTAGTTAGCAATAATATTAGAATAGTGCTTTGATTTAAATTTACATATATTTAAAATTATATATTAGATTATATTTTTTTTACATATTTTTGATATATAGTTAGTGAAAGATATATAATTTTGTTAAATTTAAGATTTTACAATAAATATATATTGCTGATCATTTCCAAATAAGGTTTGTGTTATGTGTGCAAATAAGTATTTATGCTCTTGACATGTCTTTCAATCTTGTTTCTAATTTATATCAAGAAATTCTCACACTTAATAGCTTTAAATTATATAACTTTTCATATATGCTATCTGTTATTTTCATCTTATCTGGTTTAGTTCCCATTGACCTTATTTCTATTATTTATAATACTTTTATTTTTTATCATACAACTATTTCTCTTTCTATTAAATTTCTTCATCATTTAAACCAACAAATATATAAACAAATATAGATTCCATATTGCATTTCACATTCTACATAGTCTCAAAACATACTTATTACAAATTTAATTCATAGTTCTTTTTCTAGTCTATCTTTCATCTCAGTACTTCAAATTATTACCAAAATTGATCATTGGACTATCCAATAGATTAAATATCATATCCCTTTCTCTTATATTATTACTAACACCCGAATCTAGATAAGTCTTAGTCACTCTTGTAGATTTAGGTCACAGATTATATGTCTGAGTCTTTATTCTTCATATTTAATTTAAAAGCAAGCTTTTTTTTGTAAAAACTTCAATTAAATTTCAATAAAATTAAAGACATGACCTTATCATTAATATTTTAAAAAAAAATAAAATAAAAATCTAAATCCTTATATTTAATAAATTCCTCTTTGCTATTAAATACTCTTTTCTTGATATATTTAATTAATTGAATTACTTTGATTAATTATCAGGATATTCATATCAAAGAATTGATCACTATACCTGCTCTTATGTAAGGTCCTGACAGAATATTTTTATTACATTATTAGTTTCACAATATTAAGCAATAATTTGCAAACAAGTTTAATAAAGATTTAATAGTTATAGAAAATTTTAATATAACTGATAATGAAGAATTAAATACTAAAGATACAAGCACAGATATTGTGAGTGACAAAGATGAACCTGAATTAGAAATTGTAGAATAATACAAAAAAACACTTAATGAGATATATACTATAAATCATCAATTTCTTTTCCTATATAAACAAAATATTTATTATATTTCATATAGGCTTTTTACTTACTTGACAAGTCTTATGAACTTCTGAATCAAAAAAATGGCTTCAAAATATTGAATCAAACTTTGCACCCATTCAAAAGATGGTAAATGATATAAAACATTTGGAGCAATTGAAAAATATTCCAAAAACGTGAGGTGAACATAATAAGAATACTTTTTACTAGCAGTAAATCAAATAATTTTGAATTGTGTTAAAGTTATTATAATTTAAAATGTTGAATTTATTTTATTTCTTTTATTAAAGCTTAAAGGTTCATGAGTTGTAGAATTTTTTACTATAATAACATAGTAAATTAATAAATGTTTATTGCGTTTGTATAAATCTTGTTTTCGAATTTTGAAGTTCACATAATTACTCAAATAAAATAGCTGAGATTCAATTTTCAAATTACGATTACGTAACTGATTTGGGTGGTTATGCTAGGTGGGTTAATAAACCATGCGAACGGATCCAATTTAAAACACCGCATAAGCCATACACTTTGTGATCTGATCTGATCACATCACTCCGTTCCTAGTAATTGTAAAACAAACACATCACCCACGTCTTTTACACGATACGTATACATACAACAATTCAAAATGCGAATTTGCTAAAATTTAAATTTTAACCTTACTACTATATAATCATACAACGTTCCTGGTTTCAGCGCGACTACGTCGCGCAGCTACTCTAGTGTCTATTAATTTGATAATAAGTATTCAAATCTAATATACAAACTTTCAACATGTCGGCTGACTGTTATCAGATAATTTCTTTGTCAGGCAAAAATAGAATAATTGGAATAGTTGGGACTTCAAAAAAAAAAAAAATTTTTTTAAAGATGAGTCGGCAAGTAATTCGAACCGAAAAATTAACCCTATTTACATTTGTTATTTCATAATATAACGATAACAACTTTAATCTGAGTTACTTTTTTTAGCTTAAAAGTAAATTTTTGAAATAATATTTGTCAATTTTTTATTTGAAAAAATATATATAATTTTATATTTCCATAAATAGTTAAGAGAAAAAAACCTATGTAAAAAAATCTTAAATATCTATAAAAATATAATGTCAATAATAATAAATATTAAACAATTATTAATTTAAATTTGACAAAATTTTTGCCAAGTATTGCTACATAATGCTCCTTCTACATCACTAAGAATTATTGCTTCTGCCATTGATACACATAAAGTTTGAGCTCCACCAAAAACAGCTAAAGCTCCTATGCCCGTTAATACTGAAGCTAATTCTGGTGCTGCAACTGCAGCCTCGCAAGCCGCAAAAACTTCAAGAGCATCTAATGGCGAATTACTTATAAAAGAAACAGGTTTTGCCCACATTGAAATAGATTCACAAATTTGTTCTACAATGTTTTGAGTTTTTTGATCACTGCATTTTGGTTTTGGTTGTGTAATTACAGGTAACTGTGATACAGAACATATTCCTTTAGCGTCACATGCTTGTCCTTTTGGGCAATTTGATGATAAGCATTGACATATACTATTAACACATGATTTAGGTTTAACACAAGCAGGATTACATGTAGTTCCTGGTGGATTAGGTGGTATTGTTGGAGTTGTTGTAGGTGGTTTTGTTGGTGAAGTACAATTTAATTCTCCACATTGCACGCAAGAATCACGTATACCATAATCACAGGTACCACCTTGGGGATTGCATTCATAAACATGGGTATGATCACATCCTGAAAATAAAGTTTAATTAGAAATAAAAACTTTAAAGTGATATAGCCAAACTAAATTACTTACCAATCATACCAACATAACCACCACAATATTGTCCTTGCGGGAGACCATTCGGCGGTTGAGGACATTTACATGTAGTGCTAACACATTGAGATGATACACTAGAAATAAAAAAATTTAACCCAATTGCTAAAAAAATAATATAAAAATTATTTAAGTTATTTTGATATGCCACTAAAATATATATATATATAATTAATTAGGCGATTGAAATTTCCTTATAACAAAAAAAGATTAGAAAAAAACATACTTTTGAATATTAAAACGTTAAGAGTCGAAATAACTAAAATCAAAAATTTAACGCATCTATAAATATATATATTTTTTTTTACAAATGAATACAAAAAAAGATAAATTTAGTGTAATGTAACGCGATTAGAAAAATGGTAGAAATTTGGTTTAGTATATTTACTGCTCATTAATCTAATTTTATAGTAGTCAACCAGAATTTCATAATTAAGCATTCAATTGAATCTAGGTACTTTAAATCGGCGGATTTTTAACTCCAATTCTTCATAATAATAAATTGTTACACTATCATCCATCTTAGCTGATTTTTGAAATTATTCAAAATTTCTACGCCCGCTCTTCTCGATACTAATTCTCAAGTTGTAACAGAAACTGGTCAAGTACAATTATTCTCTGGCACCTACTTTCGGGGCATTTAGATAATATCTGAAAGCCTTTTGAAATTTTTCCGAAGTTGACATCATTACTGATACCTCACATCAATGAACAGACAAAATGAATAACGCAAAAACTATTCCATTTATTCGTATGTGTATGGATAAAAGAGACTTACAAAAATATATATTTTAATTGTTCAGTAAAAAAATCCGACTAAGACCAAATAGACAAAACAACAGAATATTTTATATTTATAATCTTGGATATAAAAAAGCTTTTTCATCATCATAATGTCGATGTTTATTTTGTATCTCAAAACATAGCGATAGTAATTACAATCGATATCAATTTTATTACACCACATCTATATATGGCAAAACATATCGTGCTAAATCGAGATATAGCTCTAATTAAACCTTTTAATAATCCAGTCTAACCAGTTGCTTCTTTAATATACCATCAATAGAAATCATGTGGATTAACATTTTAAAAAATATTACTGCTTAACTTTTACAGCTCATATCTCGATGAATTTCAAAGCTATTGCCATCAAGAAATCTTAAGATTTAGCTTTCTTTTAACTACTAAATGATGATAATAGCTTTGAAATTCGTCGAGATATGAGCCGTAAAAGTTAAGGCATTAAATTTTTAAAAAGTTAATCCGCCTGATTTCTATTGACGGCAGCCCAAATCCGCTCGGATATTTGGTTAAAGTTTTGTGGAAATTTCGAAATTACATGAGAACGCAGAATACAGGAAGGCGATAATGCGTACGTCACTAATGTTCCACAACTATGCCAAGAGTTGCGTATAACTTATCGTCATGGATAGATTATCGTTAACTCACTTCAAGATTTTTTATCGGTATACACATAGGTCTTATCTGGTTTTAAGGTTGGTAGGATGTAACAGAATATGGCCATTTATGTTAATGTACTACCATGATCGTATTTGAATTGCTGTACAAGAAAAACAATGCCATGTTTAATTACTACCAAGAAATGTTATTAAGGGTTACGCGGAAGAAAAACCAAATATGCCAAATTAATATGGATATTTATGGTAAGCGTTTTATCATAGCTTTTGTCAGCATTAATGTTAAGAGTAGCGTTGTAAACTTAATTAAGTTAATTTGCATATTTTAAAGCTAAAAATTAAGATTACTTACATTTTTGTATGTTTAATAATTTTTGTATTGCCGATAGTATCGTGTTACATATCAATATGTACTCTAAGAACAACATATGTACTTGTGACGGGGATATTAGTCCAAGATTGTCATCGAAGTAACTCGATTAGATCTAACCAAAAACGACAAGCATCTGTCAGAAATGGCAGAACTTGCATGACTTACAGAGCTGACAAATCTGCCAGATATTGTCGCAATGGCAGAAAACAGTTCGCTAAAAATAAAGAAACTCAGTTCAATTACTATTCATTCAAAATTCAATTATCATTACTAATCTCCGAGACGAAAAAATCTATATAAATATAACCCTATTATTCGAATTAGCCTCGTGACGTAATCCAGAGCTCTAACCTAAATTACTCAGACCTTGTCTTTTCACCCCTCAATTGTAGCCTTCCACTGTTAGAGGTTTGGCTGGATTAGGTAGATTAGTATTTTAGTGGTAGTAGTTGCTGATTAGTGTAAGTGTGGCTGATATTCGACATTTTTAGTGTTATACCAATTTTTCACCATTACAACTATGTACGTATAGTAAAAGTATTACATCTATTAAATATTAACTGTACAAATCCTACTGTAGATATAACTGATTAATATTTATATGAAGAAATGATAATAGGCATAAAGAATAAACTAAGGGGTTAACTAGTTTTTACTAAACCGTTAACATAAATTATTAAAACCGTTTTATGCAACTAGTTTATGTAGTTAACTGTCAGTTTGTAACTGATACGTATAATTAATTTTTAACAACTATATACTGTAACTAAAAAAAAAACAATTGCAGGGGTTGGGTCTCGTAGCCTAGTGGTCTAAATGCCCCCTCTCCACAGACAAGGTCAACAGTTCAGTTCTAGCTGGAGGTAAAAACTTTGTAATCTATGAAAGCATATGAATGTACATGATGCCCTGTGGCTAAGTTCATGTGAATAGAAGATCAGTATATAAGGAAGTTCTTGAAAAGAAGTTCCTAATATAGAGAGTTGACACTTGATGTAAGAGAAGTGGTGAACATATCAGAAATAGAGAGAAGGCATATTAGCAGGTGATACAATGAACATAAAAGGAAACTATGAAAAAAGAATGAACTTATTGAAAATTTGAACATCTCTGATACTAATACTGGTTACAGTAAATATAGGATATATTTAAGTTAAATAAAAATATAAAAGATAAACTTGATATTATATTTAGTAAGTTTGTATTGAGAATAAATTTGAAGAAATATGGATACTTGGTAACATTTAATGAGATGGTACTTTGATATAAATAGTAACTAAGATAGTCTTAATCTGATATGTCATTATAATGATAATATAAAAATTACATATATATACAATACATATTAAAAATTAGAAAGTTTAAATAGAAGACTTAGAGACAGGTCTTAGGTATAATATCTAATAGGTAATTATGAGCAGAACTCTTAATTAGATAATGACTAAAGTTATATATATAATTAGTTATACTTTTATTACTAAACTATTGTATATAAATATGTAATCATATATTATTTAATAAAGATATACAGATAAGTTTGTTAATTTAAATTGAAAAAAAAACTAATTACAAAAAACTTATAAAAATAAAATTGATTTTAATTTAATTTTTATTTTAAATTAAAATTTGTTTTGCTTAAAATTTATTAGAGATTAATAATTTAAATTAGTTAGTAAAATTATTGAATGAAAGGGGTATGGCAATCTAGAAAAATAAATAGCTTGTCAACCCCAAGTAGCAGGTCTAGAGTTCAAATCCTAATGACAATGAAAATTTGCAATTCTTTCTATGTTATGGTTAACTGTTTTCTGTGATTAGTTGAAATTAGATACCTGTAACCTGTATCATACCAGAATAACTAGAAGATCTAGGCACTTGTACAATGTTATATAAAGGAACACAAACTGGTATTGGCCAATGTGAACCTAAGATAAATCCTTAGGTCATATAAATCATAGGAACCAGATAGGAAGACAGAAACCTACTTGAAAAATCCAAATAGAGAGATAATTCAAATCTTCAATGATGCTACTGTAAAGACTAAATCTATGAAACAGAAATAAAACTTGTGAAACTAGGCAAATGTACTGATCTTTGAGAAAAGACCAAATAAACCAACCAGGTCACTGGAATTTCCAGATTTTAGAGAAAAAGGATAGATGATAACAAATATATAAACCAGAAATATGATTATAACCTACTTTTCTAGACTATCTGGAATGACAACTTGGTAGAACTTGAATTGAATACCAAAATAGTAGAGATATATTATGAAGTTAATACCAGGTTTGAGGTGAACTCTATAAGGGCATAGCAGTTTAATAGAATGCTCTAACTACCAGTATTGGTCTCAGTTATAGTGATATTGGGTCAACTATAAGAATGGAATACAGCAGACTTTAAAAGATTTAGTACAAGGTTTAAGGTTTCAAAAAACTCCTTTAAAGACTTAGTGATTATAGTATATTTTCATTAGCATTAGTTAGAATCATTGGTAGACAGAGATAAGTAGGTAAATACAGAAACTAAAGTATTAAATAGGAAATCTACAAGCAGGTTCTAGGTATGACAACTAGTATAGAACCTTCAGGTGAACTACTTAAATTAGACAATAACTAAAGTTATATAAGTGACTAGTTGTACACTCTTTTCATAATTGTTTTCTATGGTTGTAATATAACTATTAGCCAAATATACTATTAATAAAATTCTAGATCACAAGTACTCATCTTAATATTTAAATAAAATAAAAAAATTATTAAATGTGTTATTTGGGTTTGTAGTAATCTTGTAATAAATAAGTCAGATATTATATGAGTTAATAAAGTTGATAAAAGTTTGTCAAATAGAAAAGTATAAAGTATGAATATGAAAGAGTTTAGATACTAATAGACAAATACTATGATATTTAGAAATTACTGATTATAAGTTAGTAAAAATGTGAAAAGAATAGTTTCTAGAAGTAATAATGATTATTGAAAAGATAGCAAGAATTTTAGTTTTGAAGAAACATAGCCAAAGTTTGACTTTTATTTAAAATAAGTGTGTAATTACAAAATTATCTACTTGAATCTAATTTATATTTATAGAACATTAGGAAGTACCAATATTAATATCAGAACTATTAGTATAAAATAAAATAGTAAATAGATTATGATTAAAGTTAGTAATAGACTATAAACTATAGTAAGCTAACCTAATTAAAAGATACAAAGTAGTTGTTGCAAGTTGATTATTAATGAAGAAGAAAGTAAGATATATAAAAAGTATTATATAGTTACAAAATATACAATATCAAGAAAGTTAGTATATAGATTAAGAGTTTTATTAAAATTAATATAACAGAGTAGTTTAGTATCCAAGTTTGTAAAAATAAAAATAATAGATTTATTGACAATTAAATTGAAATTAAGAAATATCCAGAACATATAATGGTAATAAAAAAAGAAATAAAGTAGAGATTGAAAACTAAAACTAAAATAAGCAGTATTAGTAAATAATAAGAATAAGGTCTGTAAAGTATTATACTTTTTGGTCTTACTAATAATTATTTGACTATTAATAATAATAAGTAGTCATAATTTGGTATTAAAGATAAAATAACTAATAGAATAAAAAAATAATTTGCTTAAGATAAGTTGAAGTGATTATATAAAGTATGTTAATAAGAATGACTAATAATAATATCTTAAAAGTAGTAAACTATTGAAGTATTACACCTTTAGAA